TAAAGTAAAAACATACCTACTTATAGAGTGTAGACACCCGTTTTTGATCGGGATTAAAAATATATATATATTTATTATATTATTATTATTAATGCTAATAATTTAATAATTTACATATTTTGTAGGCCAGTCCAATTACATAACCATTCAGAATCATTTTCGCCGAACTGCCAAGCCAACATAGAGCCACCACCAAATGCCTCTAGAAGCTGTCATCATCTGGCCATCTCAACAAATGTGAGTGGATCAAAATCAAGGTCAACAAAAGATTAAAAGTTTACCTAAACCTTTGAAATAAAGAAAAAAATCCCGAAAATTACGGGATTAGGGATACCTGCTTCAGCACTAATCAAAGGAAAAGGTGGATTCGAAACAATTATAAATAGAGGAACTTTCAAAGGGGAAAAGGGGAGCTCATCAACAAGAGGGGAAAAAACACTCATCAAGTGACGGAAATTTCTTAGTTGAAAGAGAGAAATTTGTAAAAGTTTTCCTTATTCTCTTCGACAGAAGTAATACCAAGCAGGATACATCTGAAGGTTTTCAATTTACTTTTCTACTGTATTTTATTTTCTGTTTTTTTATTTAAACTGATTCCAAGGTGAATACGTTTTTGCTTCATTTTTACAACATTGATAGATAAGCATAAACACTGGTTAAAAGCAGTAACAGAGAACCATAAACCATTCGAAGTAACCAAACAAGCATTAACAATGATATTGTTTTAAAAGAAATTCCATATTTGTTATTTCCAAAAATCTCCTATATTTTGTTTTTTTAAAAGTATATAGATAATAAAAACACAAAGGAAGAGGAGAAAGCGCGATGTTTACCTGAGATGTTCGGGTTCCTTCACGGGAACCTATCACGTTTAGGTGAGGTTATTGTCGCCGATGAACGACAGTTGCATGCTATTTTAATTGCTGGAATTCAAGGAATGTAAGAGTCGGTTTCCATTAGTCACCATTCGAGAGCTTAAGAGAAAAAAATAAAAAGAATAAAGGGATATTAGAAAACAAAACTAAAAATGAGAGGAGTTTACCTTTAGGGTCGGTTCTTATGTTCGTTAGGTCACCATAGATGTTGTACACGGAAGAGTGGCTCCGATCTATAGCGAAGAACGAAGAACTGGCCAGCGTATGAAGGGGTTTAGTTGACCCTATACATTGGTTTAGGAGTTGTAATAAAAGGGGAATTAAGGTTTACTTATAAGTTTTTAGTGATTAGATCGAGATTAGAAGAGAAAATATGTGAGATTTTAGGGCGATCAGAGTAAAACCCATTGTTGATAATGGCCAAGCAAGCGTGGAATAATGGATTCTCGGCAGTGTGGCGTGAAGGAGAAAGTAGAGAGGAGAAGTGCGGCTGTGTAAAATATTATTTGGGTGAATGATAGCTTAGGTTTAGTTTAGGTTACTTATAAAAAATATTTGGTAAAATTATAGGTTAGTCATTGGAATCTTAGGGGTGAATTAGTTATAGACTTATATTTATGCATATTTTGATTTAGGCCACTAGTTTTTTAATTTACATGTTTAATCTCACATTCATTTAAATTTAGTCATTATTTCAAATATATATATTTTAAATTTATTACTTTGGCATTTTATGTTTTTATTTTTATAATTAAGTCACATTTGTACATTATATGTTAGTATGTATGGTTTATAATTATAACTTATTATTACATAGTACGTGTAAATATTTTTTTTTGTATTAAGATGGTATATTGTTTAGTATTTTTTAATATATTTATTAAGTAGATAATTATTATTTTTAATTAATATTTGCATGTTAGCCTTATGTATATGACTCAATCAAATTACATAATCGAATTAAGGGTAATACCCTTTTAATTTAAAATTGTCGAAATGGCTTTTCTTAACTTACAGGAAAGTTATTCTTGACGATTTTAAATTATAAGTGTATACTGTCATTATCACTAAAAAATTTGATTTTTCACTTTAAAATTAGGGAGTGAAAGAAAAAGAAATGTTCGGCTATTTAAATTTGTTAAGAAAAGGTCGTTAGAACTGACCTAAAGATTTGGTCTCAATATTTTTAAATAATCGAATATACTTTATCTTTTTAATGGCTAGGTAATTTTAATTTAACCTATTTTATTGCTTATTGAAGGTTTTAAAATTTGCATTTTTGTTGTTTTAAAGGATCATAAATCAAATTAAATTCGAACTTGTGAAATTTGTTGCAAGACATTAATTAATCGACTAGGTACCGATTTAGGGCATTGTGGGGTGCTAATCCTTCCCCACACGTAACCGACTCCCGAACTTGGATTTTGGTAACGTAGACAGTAAATTTGTCGTTTTAATTAAATCAATTTTTATTTAAAATGACAACGTTTTTAGGTGCCCAATCACACCCTAATCAAAGATTGGTGGCGACTCTTCGAACCATGTTTTTTTATTTGTAAAATAATTTCTAAATTTTCGAAATGAGAGGTTTGTTTAATGTTATTTTTTTTAATTAAAAATCAATCAAAAGAAATAAATTAAAAATGACGTGGTTTTCAAATTAAAAAATTTCCTTTTAAAAAAAAACGGTTACGACAGCTTGGCGACTCTGCTGGGGACTTTTTTAGAGAGTCAGGCCGATAATCGATTAGTCAATTATCTTTGCATATGAAAGTTATAAATTCATTCTAATTTGGTTTTTGATCCCTGGTTTGTTTTAAATTGTTGTTTGCATTTTAATTTGTAATTTGATTAATGAATAAATAGTTGTACTAACGTGTGATTTACATGTTTCAGTTTCTGACCTTCACTTTAGTATGTTGCTTTTCTTGGATCGAGGCAAAGGATTATGAGTTTCCCCACTGTCGCTATAACCCTTTGATTTTTAGAGCCTTCTAACTGTGCTCTGTCCCGTTAGGTAGAGGTGAACGCTACGCTTACGTGAGAAAAATTGCTTTTCTCCGCATGGGCTTTAGCAAATAACCTCTAGGGTACATATGCCTTATGTTTACGAGTGAAACATTGCGTTTTCTCGCATGGACATAAAGAAATGTATCCTCTCGAATTGAACTTGACCCGTTTAAGCCTATAATGGGTGAGGGTCGAGGGTCTGGCAAGCCTAAGGGGGCACCAGCAAAGGACAATTTGAGGACCCTGTTAGTGTTACCAAAACTTTGCCCGTCTTATGATGAAACTCTATCCGCAGACACAAAGGGGAAACTCATTCTAACCTTTTCCTCGAATTTATTTTTGCAATATGTATAAGAATTAGAAAACATGCGGTTAGGTTTTATTTTTTCGTACAAAGGCTGTGATCTAGAAAAATGTGGCTATGGTTTTTTTTTTTGAATGACAAAGCATGTGGGTAAATATCATGTTGGGTAGATTCCATATGGATAAGGGTTAGGATGTATATATTTTCAAGCTTTATTTATTATATTGTTTTTCTTGATTATTTATTATATATACTAACACTTTTTATTTGCGTTCGTGTTTCTGTGTTTTATTACTGTTGCATTACATTATCATTCATAAAGAAAGGTGTGGTTCACGAAGTGGTCATCAAAGTAGAAGGTGATCATAAAATGGACAAGAGCTTTCATAACAAGGAAATAAAAAACGCGGAAGTGAGGTCGTGGTCAGAGGAAACTCAGATGAAGAAAGGCGATAGTCTGACTGAAGGTTATATATCGGTACTACCAGAAGTTGCTCCGGTCAGTCTAAAGCAAAACGATCTGCAAGAATTACGTGAAATTTGGGAGGGTTGGAATTCTGATGTGAAGTATGCTTTCTGGCAAAAATATGGTGACATAGCCCTGTTGTTGTACGTGAAAGTAAACGAACCCCTGATTAAAGCTTTGATCCAGTTTTGGAATCCAGCATATAGTTGTTTCACCTTCAACAAGGAAGACATGACTCCCACGTTGGAAGAGTACACTTCCCTATTTCATTTCGAAACGATACATTTGGATAGGATTTACTCAAAGGCCACAAGAGTGCAATCCTTCAAAAGCAAACTTGCAAAAATTACCGGAATGGGGGAGAAGTGGGTTGCTGATCGAATCCAAAAGAAAGGAGAGTCTGATTGTTTCCCTTGGCCATGCCTGAAAGAACTTATTGTCAAACATGACGATATGAGAAGAGAATGGAGATGTTTGCTTTGGGAATTTACAGTTTAGTGATTTTCCCGAAAGTTCTTTGTCATGTAGAATCCGCTGTAGTCGATTTATTCGAGCGTTTGGAAAGGAAGGTGAATCCTGTTCCTGCGGTTTTGGCAGAGACATTCAGGGCGCTTAATAGTTGCAGAAGAGCAGAGAGTAGTCGCTTCACTGGGTGTATCCAGTTGCTTACTGTTTGGATACGTAGCCACTTCTGGAAGATGGATCGAGAGTACAGTCGCCGGTTTTCAATTGCCTATTCACCATTAAAAGATTTCCTTACCAAGGAATGGCCGGAGCATCTCACCAGGAAAGATTGGATTTCACTCTTCAGAAATCTACAAGATCATGATATAGTATGGCGTGTTCCCTGGTTAGCTTTTGCTGATGTATTGTACAAATGCGGAGATTCTGATTGGGTAACCCTATTAGGGTTATGGGGTGGAGTAGGTTATGCTCCATTAATGGTATTACGACAATTTGGGGCACGCCAATTCGTCCCAATTACATCCGGTCTAAAGACATCTGAATTTGTGTACTACGGAGATCACTACAAGAAAACTGCTCGAGTGATGTCAGATGCATGGAAGTCAATCTTTAGAACCGATTTAGTAGCAGCCGAGGTCATGCTGACACCAGATTATGTGGCATGGAGAGCGGCAAGAAAGAATGATGTCATTCCCTTGGCGGATCGTGATCAAGTAATTCCTTTGGAAACACAATTCAGACACGTACCATCTAAGTTGGAGATACTTAAGAGTGAATTCGAAGCAGAGATCGCCAGAAAGGAGGCAGAGTGTGAGGCTCTTAGACAAAAGAATTTTGTGTTGGACATTGATAAGGGGTTTTATATAAACAATTTGAGTTGATGCGCGAGAGAAAAGAGAAGGTTGAGGCTAATTTTGCTAACTTACAAAATGATTACCGAAGAATTGTTGGGCTCGAAAAAACTTCAAAACAGTGGAGGTTGGAGCTCAAGGCTGAAAGGGATCGTCGAGTTAGGGATGTCAGAGCCGAAAGAGAGCGCCGAGTCAGAGAACTAGAGGCGGAGAAGAAGAGAAAAGATCATGAACTCGAGTCAGAGAAGAAATCCTGGGCTAGTGCACTGAATAACGAAAGGAAAGAAGCTAAAGAGTTAAGACAAAGGCATACTTTGAGCAAGAAACGAGAAGAGGAGCTCACTTTTGAAGTACGAAGGTTGCAAGTTAATATTGAGGAGCTCAAAGTTGAAGAGCATAGTAGATTAAGCGAGATTAAGGAAGGAAAACGAAGGATAGAACAGTTAGAAATTGAGAAAATAATATGTTTCAAGGGTTCGAAATGGAGGTGAACAGCATGCAAAATGAACTTGAGATTAGAGGACAAAGAATAGGTGAACTCGAAGCTGAAAAGAGACGAACCAATAAAGAATTGAAATTAGAAAGACAACATAAGATCATGTGCTTAAAAGCAAACAGGATGAAGTGTTCATTTGGATGCAAAGATGTGTAACAAAGAACGAACGAATAGAGGTCCTTAATCAAGAGATGCAAGAGATAGAAGCAAGGCATGAGGAAAAGTTAACTCAGGCTCAAGCAAAGAATGAAGAGTATGGTGTTTACATTCGGCAGCTTGAAAATTCCTTGTTCACAGAGAATAGTCAGCGCTGGCCATCAGATTTAAGGGTTAGTCTCGAAGAGAATGCTGCTTTGCGAAGAAAGGTTAATGATTTAGAGAATGCCTTGCGAAGCTGTCAAATACAGATCTCTAGTCTTGAGCGTACTGTTGAAAGTACCCGACAGCAGTGGCAGAACTCGAGTGATCGTTTTGAAGACTGGAAAACGAATGTGAATAGCATAATCCTTGAAACCATGAATCAATTAAGCGGTGTTGCAAGACAATTGGGAGAGATGGACATTCAAGCAAGAGTTATCCAGAGTTATACAAGTCCCGCATCAGATGTAGGAAAAAGGGTCAATTGGCTTGTCAATGAGATAATGGAATTGAGCACTAGAGCTAGGCCTTTTCTGTAATAAATTTTTCTTGTAATGATAAGGGTTTTGTCCTAAATGAAAGTTGTTCTAAAGATTGATCACGTCTTATGAATCAATGCCTTTCTGCATACATTTGCATTTTGTTTAAGTATTGTTTTCTGTATTTTATTCGCACTTTTATCATTTTATTACCACGTAACATGCATTCATTCATTAAACACCAAAAATAATGTAAAATATGATTTCCAATCATTGTAGTTATTCTGGCATTCACCTCACACCCGTACGGTACTCGGAATACAACAAAGAAAATGGAAGCTAGAATGATCCAACTTGAGCAAGAACAAAAACAAGCTCAAGAAGAAATGAGAGAGAGATTAACTAAGATGGAAGCAGAGATAACAAACTCGCAAGCCGGTCTACTACAAAGGATGGAAGAAATGTTTAAGAAATGCTACAGGTGGAAGGATTGCGGATGACCAACTAATGTCATCCGAGCAAGATCCATCACATCCTCCAGGGTTTGGAGCTGGAGCATCACATCCTGCGGGGTTTACTTCTGACCCTCAGTACCCACCAGGGTTTACACCAGAATCCCGTCCTCCTCCTGGTTTCACACCTATACATATATCCGCTCATCCTTCGGTACCTCAAGAAACTCGACCTCATGTATATGTTAGCAATGAGAATCAGCAGCACCACATGGGATCCACATTCCCAAACATTTATCAGCCTGTTTCAGGTGTAAGGATAGGGGAATTTAATACCGAGCATTTAACCCCGGATCTGAACGAGTTAGCCGAGAAGGAAAAAGCCAATGAACAGATAAATCAACAATTGAAGAAATTGGAAGAAAGGGTAAAATCGGTAGAAGTGATTGAACCGTTCTATGGGTCTGATGCTAGAGAGTTAAGTTTGGTCCCAGATCTGATTATCCCTATAAAGTTCAAGGTTCCCGAGTTTGAAAATACAATGGAACCACTTGTCCTTCATCTCATATAACCATGTTTTGCCGGAGGATGGCTGGCCATGTGAACGATGAAAAACTGTTGATTCACTGTTTTCAAGACAGTTTGACAGGTTCTGCCGCTAAGTGGTATAACCAATTAACTAGGGCTCATATCAAATCATGGAAGGACTTGGCAAAAGCATTCCTAGAACATATCGCCATGTTACAGATATAATTCCTGATCGGTGGACTCTTCAAAATATGGAAAAAAGAAGCAATGAAACTTTCCGACAATATGCTCAAAGGTGGCGTGATGTTGCTGCACAGGTCCAACCCCCTTTACTCGAAAAGGAGGCTACTGTAATTTTTGTCAATACTTTGAGAGCTCCGTATTTGGGCATTTGCTTGGAAATGCCACCAAAAATTTTGCTGATTTGATCATCTCTGGTGAGCTCATCGAAAATGCTATAAGAAGTGGCAAGATTGAAGTAGTTGAAGGGTCTAGCTCCAAAAAACCTGTATACCGAAAAAAGGAAAATGAAGTTAACAGTGCAAATGTCTACCACAAGAATACTGCAAATAGTGTCACAATAACCCAATCAAGGGCTGAGAGGAATGACATGAACACCACCAGAAATGATTTCAGGGGACCTCGTAAGGAGAGAGAGAAGGTGTCCTTCACACCATTACCCGTACCCTATTCAGAGATATACGCCTCGTTATTCAAGGCAGATGTGGTACGCCCCTACCGTTTGACCCCTCTTCAACCACCGTACCCTCATTGGTATGACGCAAATGCGCATTGTGATTACCACGATGGAATTGCTGGCCATTCTATAGAGAATTGTTATGCCTTCAAAAAGATAGTGCAGAATCTGATTAACAGGAGGATTACAATTTGATTCACCAGATGCATCAACACCCACTACCGAATCATGGAGGTAAAGGGATAAATACCATCCATGAGGAGAATAGGAGGAAGGCAAAGACAAACATTCATGAAATCAAATCTCCCTTCAGTTGGGTATTCCAACAACTCTATCAGGCTGGCATGATTCGACAAGATCTTAAGCCAAAGACCAATGAGTGTGAACACTATTGTGAATATCACCAAGAAGAAGGGCATGAAATTCAGCTTTGCCCTGAATTCAGGGGGTTACTACAAAGATGATGGTAATAAGGAGGTAGAGTTCTTTGAGGAAGATAAGGAAAAAAGAGAAAAAGATGTCTTCATGACAGAAAATTCTGAGCCCGTTCACAAAACAAACAAGCCAGTAGTCATCACTGTGAAATCATCAGCAATGAATTCTGGGTCGTCAACGCCAAAAGTTGTAATCACAGCTCCTTCAACATTTTCGTTTAAAGACACCCGCAAGGTGCCTTGGAATACACTGCCAATGTTTCATTAATAAGAGAATCTGGTTCGCTAGAGAAAATAAAGGTAGTTGAAGGTGAAGCACCAGTAGGCAACTTGATGACTGGAATAGTGAATGAAGTCGGGCACTTCACGAGAAGTGGGAGGTGTTATTCTCCTGAGATGTCAAAAGAAATGGACAAAATGAAGGCAAAAGGAAAAACTGTGGTGGTACCGCAAAAGATATTTGATGATGAACTCCCACCAATGATCAATGAGCCGGTAACAGAAACGCAAGCTCAAGATTCTGAAGTTTTTAAAACATAGTGAGTATAATGTAGTTGAACAGCTACACAAGCAACAAGCACGGATTTCGATTCTAGATTGTTAATAAATTCAGAAGTACATCGGAATGCTTTGTTAAAAGTGCTCAATCAAACATTTGTGCCTGAGGATATATCAGTGAACAAGTGGATCGAATTGTAGGGCACATAGCTGCTGACAACTACTAACTTTCACTGATGATGAAATTCCTGATGGTGGAATGGGATCAGTAAAAGCCCTCAATATCACAACTCATTGTCATGGTCATGTCTTGTCAGGCGTTTTGATTGACAATGGGTCTGCACTTAATGTTATGCCTATGGCCACATTACGGAGGTTACCGGTGGACAACTCACATATGAGGGCCTACCAAACATTGTTAGCTTTTGATGGAACCCAGCGGGATGTGCTTGGAAAGATAGAGATACCACTGTTTTGGACCAACTGTCTACAATATTGATTTTGTGGTGATGGACATCAATCCCTCATATAATTGTTTGCTGGGAGGCCATGGATTCATTCTGCAGGGGCAGTCCCTTCGTCCTTGCACCAAAAATTAAAATTCGTGACAAATGGCCAGTTTGATTAGTATTGGGGCAGAGGAGATTATTGCTTCTGTGACGACTGACGCCCATATATTGAGACGAATGAGAATGCCCTAGAGTGTTCCTTCAGAGCTTTAGATTTGTCAACGCTACTTTCATTGCTGAAGGAAACAAGATTCCTCGCCCGCGTTTATCTGATTGTACTAAGATGACTGTGCGAGAGACTCTAGGAAAAGGAGCCAAGACAGGAAAGGGTCTCGGTATATGCTTGCAAGGGAGTTTATATCCCAAATTTGTCATGATGAAGAACGATCGCTTCGGGCTGGGATTTAAGCCTGATTTTCAGCAAAGAAAGAAAGAAATGAAAAGAGAGGTGAAGTGAGAAGAGCTAGACTGAAAGGAGAGGATATTCCATGGGAGCGTATGCTTTTCCCTCCCCTAGAAAGCTCTTTCAAGTTTGGGGGAGTTTGATATAGAGCAACAATTAGCCAGAGCAATTGATGAAGAAGACCAGATGAAAGACAGAGACTTGTTCAATGAAGCTATGGGGTTTGGTCATTAACATGATAACTGGGGATGATAAAGCGGGAAGATATTTGGCTGGAATCCGTCCTTGCTTCCCAGGGGAAACACTGAAAAATTGGACTGCAGAGGATCTCCTGTAGTTTTTTAAGATTAATTCAGAGTAATACCCAGTACTAATCCTTATACTTGTGCCCGCAAGTATTAAGGAATTTTCATAAGGGCAGCTATGTTAACTCTACTTGCTTTCAATAAAAGACAGTCTTTGTTTCTTAAATGGATCATTATTTACATTTTCATTTTCATTCTTTATATTCATTTCATAAATTTTGGTCTCCTTTCAAATATATTCGATTCAATTTTCCATTTGCAGGTGTCACAAATCAATAGCATGAATGTTTCTGAATTAATACTGAGATAAACTTTGAGCAGTCCATATGTTTGGAAGAAATCAATGAATGTCAGGATGAGGTAGAATGTGATGTTCCTAACGAACTATTAAGACTGGTAGAAAAGGAGGACAAACAAATCTTACCTCACCAGGAAGAAACTGAGGTTATAAACTTGGGAACTGATGATGACAAGAGAGAAGTTAAAATCGGCAGCACACTTTCTGTTGAGATAAGGCAAGAATTGATAGATCTGCTCCGAGAATTCAGGAATCTTTGCATGGTCTTATCAAGATATGCCAGGACTGAGTACAGACATAGTGGTGCACAAGCTTCCGATAAAGCCTGAGTGTAAGCCAGTCAGCAAAAGCTCAGAAGAATGAAGCCAGAATGTTATTAAAAATTAAAGAGGAAGTGATGAAACAGATTGATGCAGGGTTCTTCAAGCGGCAAAGTATCGGA